CACTCACTCACTCACTCACTCACCCATTGACCCGTCCATAACATACCCGACGCGCCGACTAAGAGGTATTTTTTTTACAAAAAAATAACTCAAAAAGGCAAACTTTTCGCCATGGCCTGTATTTTATAAACGGACACCTCCACCCTCTCTTTCCTCCCCCAGAGGCAAAGCAGACAATAAAGAAGGTTCCGTGAGTGTCCGCTAAACACAGGTCTGATTGTTGTTGAAACTGTCGTACAAGCACTTGTCTAGTGATAGAGATTCATTGATCCACTCGGAGCATCTAGTTGTACTTATCAGCTCCATCTATCACATCCGACACTATGCATTCAATGTGATGTGTTTTAAAAACTCCTTATAACTTGAACGCAAACCCGCTCTAGTTTAGTGAATCCAACATGGCAGCGATGCCGTCATTATACTTACTTTATTGGCTTGCGGAATCGTGATACACGTAGTCCTTCCAATCGTAACGGCGGGATTGCACCACCACATGACTCTCCCAGCTGTACTAGCGATAACCCAACAAGAAGCACGACGAAAACCACCGTAAATAACTTCATTTTTTCTGGGCTAAACGACAACACGATCAAGCGAGAAAGATCGTCTGGACGGCTGCGACATGAGCACCAACTAATGTTAAAAGAAACTTGAAAGTGTGCCAGACTAAAACAATCACGATCGAGAAATATGAGACACTTTGAGAGCAAAATTCTGCTGGGTCAAACAAGGTGAGGTTTTGTAAATACTGCTATCTTTCGTCTCCTAAGACAACTATTATAATTGCTTTTCAATTCGATCCTATTTTGTCAAACCTACGACCGGAACTGATTCTTTAACGGCGCTTAAAGGGACGCAGTTACGGCATTTTCAGCTACTATGAATTACGTACAAAATTACCTTTCAAATGAAGGAAGCCTGAAAATAATAGTTTATAAAAATAGAAAAACACCAAAGCCATGACAATAAACCATAAAAGAACAAGGATGGTCATGGAGAAGGTTGACCGGATTAAAAACGACGAACTTGAAACACAAAGGATTTCTGCACAAGACGTAGATCTTTGAAAAAACGGGTGGAGGTACCCTGCGAGCAGAGGTCCCATCGATCTTCCTAGAAAAGTCGGGAAGAGGAAGAGATTCTTCCTCTTCCCGACTTTTCTAGGACGATCGAAGGGACCTTTGCTCGCAGGGTAGGGTGGAGGCAGTGATGTGCGTGTGACGAGTCCGCCCCCCGTGGGGGGGGGGNCCCATATGAAAAGGTCGGGGATGCTCGTCGGAAAATTTGAATTAACCCCTAGAGGCGACCAATGTAGGCGTGGCTCGAGCTCTACTTAACCCCTGGAAGATACCACTCAAAACGGAATTGGCTCGAATACCAACCGCTGTTCAGGAAAGGAGCCACCGCTAGCAGACCAGACTCACGAGACAGGTCTAAGCCTACAAAGGGAAATAAGAGCGTTTCTTTTATTATTTCTTCGGGTGCACCGTAAAAGATACTTTGACAGCTAAAAATAGTGGCGTTCCGTCATGAACACCGTAAGTAAGGCCAGTGGCCTTGGTTTATACCCCTCGGAGAGACGACGAGAATCCCCGACCTTTTCATGTGGGAGTTCCTCGGGCGACCCCGCTGTCTGGAGGATGAATTTGATTCGGACCTACAAGGTGTGTGACGACACAGAACAAAGATGGGCAATATGCGACCGACCCCGAAGAAAAACCACTTCCGCAAAGGATAGCGGCGTAAGGACTTTATTTGCAAGGGAACCCCTGTCCGAAAAACCAGCATACTCCAACAGTTGTGACTGTATGCTTAGCATCGAACGAGGTTTTCCTCCATGCTCGCCATGGAATTCTGGATAAAAATCGACAAAGAACACAGTACACAGAATTTCACTTTACTTGTTTTGTTTTATTTGTTGTTTTGGACTTTGCCTTTTTGATGGTTTGATTTTAGGCTGACATTTAGGTGTATATACCAGAGGGACTTTTTTTTGACAGCATTTTTAATTAGTCAGGATTGAGTTTGTTTTAAATCAGAGTAACAAATAGTTCATATACATAATTTTGACATCTGGAAATAAATATAACACTGAAAAGGAAATGCTAAAAATAAACGTTTTGAAATTATTGCAACCTAAGCCAGATCATTTAATTTCATCAGTTCCGATCCAACATGGCTAGTTCAGAAGATCTCATTGAATTAAAACAGAGGGAAGATATTGTTCAAACCTGAGCCCTCGGTATAGCGAAACCAGGCCCGATGGTGGCCAAGATTGTAGATTATAATGCAATCCACGGTCAACGCTACAAGTTGGCAGGCTATTTTATTTTGCCGAGACCACTTTAACATAAGAAATACTAAAAGTATAAGTTGGTGGAAACTTTAAACTACTGATCATTGATGACTAAGAGAAGATGGCCTTCAACAGATCAGGCTGTCCTTCTTAGAATACTTTATAATATACATATTTACATATTTACAACTATTTCACTGTAGGTATATACATCCATCGTTTCATTCTGTCTACTCTTTAACGGACGAATAATAAATAACTTTGAATAACTGAATAAATAAACTTAATACTAAATCTGATCATCACGTGAAGAAACACTTGTTCGATAGACTGATAAACTACTTGGTAGCCAGTAGGTACTGTGGAGGTCCTTCTGGGTTCTTGTCAATGTTAGTCACCATGATCACAAATTCTGAGGAAGAAGAGATCGAAAAATTCAGGAAAATCTACCTAGACAAGGCTTCTGAAGGAGGTGGGAGGTGGGGGGAGGGGGGGNGGGGTCCTTGAAGATGCTAACGAAAGCCGGCTGTATCAGTATCCACCACTTAAAAGGAGCTCAGTCACATCCTTTTGAGTTATTTTGGCCACGTACAAAATTACCTTTACATTGAAGCAAACCTGAAAATAATGCGGTTTACCAAGACAGAAAGACACCAAAGAAATAACAATAAACCATGATGGAACAAAGTAACACGGATTACAAACGACGAACTTGAAAACATTTAGGTTAAACTTTTCACGATGCGCAAACAGTGACGTAGCTCCTTTAACGCTCACATAATTACCTTCAAAGTTGATAAATCCATCTCCATTGAGGTCCGCTTCTCTCATCATTTCACTGACTTCTTCCTCAGTTAGCTTCTCTCCCAAACTTGTCATGACCATACGAAGCTCTGAGTGACTGCCGCCAAACGTTTACAAAACATAAATAACAACATAGCAAGTCAGGGGACATTATAGCTGCCTTTAGTTTTTAGATTGAAAGTGAGCTGACTTTTTGAGAGCTAGCCTATTTAAGCCCTCGTCCGGGAGATTGTATGTTAAGCGAGTGTTTGCATGAGGAACTGAACTATGTGGGAATGTTTGTTTTATCCTTTATTTTGTGGGGTTTTCTATCTTGCTCTGACGCAGCTCTCGCCAAGAAAGATTATCAACAGCCTGTGATTGATAGAATACCGGGAGGATTACGCTGTTCATTAGCTGCTATAAGCCAAGATTTGACATGGTAAATGTATGTTTTACAAGTGTCCTAAAATATTACGTGACTACTAAAACTCTGAAATAAAGTGGAAATGAAACAAGGGTTACGGCAAGCTGAGAAGAAAGGCAAGAACAAAGGAACTAAAGTGACACACAAAGCAGAAAATAGCGGCGAAAAAAAACAACAACTGTAACACCTAACTTGATTGAAAGATTATTGTCATTAGTTAAATTACAATGAGAGCCGATAATTTTTGTTAAATATCGAGGCCACTACGCAGGAGAAATTTGAAAACGTAGCTTTATTTCCACGTTACCATCCACACTAATCCCCCACGAAAAAGGAGCTTTAAAACGCTCTTCAAACCGGTGTAATTTGAAAACGCCGGCTTTGCGTTTTAGTGCGGACGGAAAACATTTTGAAAACGGAGCTTTTCGGAAACGATGGCGTCACGATTATCATGTGATTTCACTGTCAGAGTTTTCCTCAAACACAAATCCAAAATGACCGGTCATTGCTGCATTTTCATACTTCTCCTGGCTAGCGTGGACGAAAAACATTTGATGCGTTTTCAGAGTGAAAACACCGTTTTCAAATTTCTCCGGCGTAGAGTTCATCCCTGATGCAGATATCTTCTCACCTTATCTGTCCGTCTCCATTTTTATCAAAGACTCTGAATGCCTCACGCATTTCACTCTCAGTGTCACGAGCCTGCATCTGTTTCTTCATCATCAACAGAAACTCATCGAAATCCACTTCACCGTTTCCTAAAGATGGCAGAGGACATTTCGTGTCATTAAATATATCTTATTAGCCAAATGCGAGGGGCGTACTGGAACAATAGGGAGCTAAGCAATGACGACGGCGACCCGTAGCACACCGAGGTTCATACAAAAAAGACATTCTCCCTGTAGGGTCCCGAGCAAGATTTGGTTAATACGAGATTAATTACACGACCGAAAATGTGTAGGAAAATAGCGGACTGGAAAATAGCGTGCAATTCTGATGGGGGAGCCGACAAAAGGCGTATCGCTCACGTCTGACGTTAAATAAAACAGAAGAAGAAAAAGAAGAGGAATCTCTTATTTTTGGAGCAAGTTTTTTCAGAAACATACGTAAGCCACGAAACTGTACAGAAAATCTTCAAGAGTGATCGTGTGTGATCAGTCGCAACAGTGTCCGGTCCAATACTGAGAGAATATTGGACTGGCAATGAAGCAGTCTGATTGGTTGATTTTAATTATTGGCCCTCTGATCTACCTTAGTAGTGTAATAACTCGGAATATAGGATCTCATCAGTCCTTATTCTTTTTGAAAGGATCTGTAGGCAAGAACACGTTCGCCTTGAACTTAATAACACTCAATCTGCGTCAAGTGATCACCAAGTTAAGGATTATGAAATCAAAACCGGCTTTCAAAGTGTTTCAAAGAATTCCTGCTGTCGTCCCGAATTTTCTCAAGCAGTCAAGGTTTTTTCAAACCGACTTCTCTACCCTCTAAGTGCCCCTCAAATATAGAAAGCTAAAAGTAAATAAAAACAAAAACGCCCTCAAAATATTTTGCAGATTTTGAAAGCCAATCTCTCCTTGAATATTACACCCAAAGAACTACCAATTTTACCAATTTACTAAGTTTTACCAGCTCTTTAAATGCTTGGCGCCAATTTGTGTCTAGCGTGATGCCTTCTCTGCGCAAAGTCGTATGTTAATGAGGCATAATGTAAACAATGACGTCAGCAAAGTTCACTCTGCTCTTTTGAACAGAGCTATAGAAAATTGGATTTTACCGAGGCGTTAATTAATATTATTTAAACGCAAAATGAATATCGAAAAGCCTCTGGTAAAAAAAAAACTGTAGCACCAACTTGTTAACTATGGGGTTAATTCCTTCAAAACATGGCTAATTAAAATAGTTCATTCAATAGCAAATCATTTGCAGTGAACTATACTTAGGTGTTAATTACTTGCCGAGTTTAAATGAACCTTAATTCAGACACCTCTGGGTATTTGTCTTTTGTATTTTTCTTTGTATCTTGAGACGACTTGCGGTCTCGCTGGCTAACCCAGCTTTTGTCTTGCTTATCGATATTTTATTTTTCCCATGAATATCGACAAAGTATCTTTAAACCATTCAACCAATGGAGCTGATAATGGCGCTGACTACAACTAGATAAAACAACAGGACTGAATCCGATGTTTACAACGTTAAACGTGCTAAAATGTCTACAAATTTGATGTTGTGAAGAGGAAAACTTGCAGTCGTAACACATGGAACGAAATAAAAAAGGATTTTTGTAGCCTCATTCATTGTTAGCCATCGTTGTATCTTGAAGTGACAAGGTAACCCACTCTAAAATCTTGCGCTACTTCTTTGAGTATTTCTTTGTTCAACCATGCCTAATTACTGATGGCGCGAAAAAATCGTAATCTGGTGAATTCAAGGATGAATTGCAGGTTATTCTTAGCGAAAAAATGTATTTATGAGCATGTGCTAAAGAAAAGGAAAAACTACAGCTGTGACACATATCAAGACCTATCAATCGTGGTTTGTCTGGTGACGCATGAGTATTTGCCACAGACATGACAATCCGTAGTAGAAGGCAAAAATACTGCGGACCAGTTTTGGAATGGTTTAACTACGGATATTTGATTTGTTCAGGCAAATTATTGACAGTGATTCGAAAAGCACACGCCTTAAAATGAGCAGGTTTCTATGTTTGAATCCAATACAAAAATTTTCTCACTGTAGCCCGGTCCTTACTAGCGACGAAAGCATAAGCATAAGCATACGAAGGTGGTTATGCTTATATGTCGCGGCCGTCCCCCATGACTGACACATAAGCTTCTTATTCTTATGCTTATGCTTATGCTTTTGCTTACGTCGCTAGTGAGAACAGGGGTTTTGGCCGAAGTTTGTATTCAGCCATGTTCCTGTTTTGCTGTACAGACACTGCAAAGTGCCGGCTGCCTTCTACTGATTTCAAGATGTAATTTCATTCTCAGGCGCTCTTTTAAGACTTGAAAGGCTTTGAGGAGGTCTACTGAAGCTATACATGAGACAAATGCAAATCAATATAATTTTTCGAGGACGTATTGTTAATCCAAAACTAAGCCGACCAGCTGCAGACTTACTATGACATCTAAATGACGTACTCAGTTTTGATTGGAAAGGCTCCAGTTTTCCTCAATTGAGTAATTTATTTTCGTCACTTGTGCGCTCTTTGCAGATTAAATTGTTTTGTAAGTTTTCTGTAAAAAGTGCAACTAAGTCTTCATTTTTAACTAAGAAGTGAGCATGTACTAAACACGTTCATTACATTCGACGCGGCACACGCCAGTACTGATTACATCAAGTGCAAATTCAAAACGTGATGCTGGGTCTGGTCAAGTGAGAAAGCTTTGTTGTGATATATTGCACGGTTTTGTCACTTCCTAATCACAGATCTCGTTTTCCTACGTTTTATTTCAATCAAGAGAAAACTATGATCTCCTCTAAATGTCGTGAGGTAACGAAGTCTCAACAGCGATATAAAAACAGATAACACTTAATTTTACTTACTAGTTAACTTCCCTTCCAATTTCATTTTTTTAAAAAAACAATAAGTTATTTTTTAGTTGAAATGTTTTGTACCATTTTGGGGCAAAGTTTGACTGTTTTCGCTTTTATTTCACGCTCTTAGCTTGTTTTTCTTGTTTCATCACGAAACCAAAAGAAATTGATATCTTGCAAGCGTCTTATAGACACTTAGCATAGAACACACAAGTCCAAAACATATTTAGCCTTGACCCCTTTATTGTTGAGAATGATTTTTAAAAAGATGCGGTTTTCAGAGACAATTAGCATGGCAAAGATAGATGTACTAGAGTTTAGTCTTTGATCGATTGAGAAATACAGCCCCCAAAAATTATAAGATTATCACTTTTATCTTGGTCACACGTTTGGTGGGATTTTATTCCGTTTAAAACTATCTCATTAGTGTCTATTTATGTTTATTTATCGTATACGATCTGGAATTTCCAAAAGCCTAAGAAAAACGTGCGTTGCGTATGCAAATATATCTTTTTTATTTGATCTGCCGATGAAATGAATATATGCGAAGGATAAAAGGCATTCAATTTGCCTGATATTACAGAGCAAACACACTGGCAATTTCTTCCGATTGAAATTATGTAATATTTCCATGTTAAAATTATGTTATTTACCTGCGGCTTTTCACTGTAAGCCTAGTTTTATTTAGCAAAATATTATGTTAAGAAAATTTGGAGGTGTCCCTTGAATCGAAAACAAGCTATTTTCAATTTTTGAGTGAATTATTTAGTTTTACGACAAAAAGAAAAGTATTTCTAGTTTGAAAGGTAGTCTTAAATAATTCTGAAAATAGCCAATGACATTATTCTAGCAGTTTAGGGGGCGCTAACGAGAAGAAAGGAAAAAGTTTGCAAGAGGATTAATTAATTTTGAGAATCCTCCTGCATTTAAAATTAAAAATAGCAGGAATACGTGTTTTTCTTCGGCTCATTGGAAAGCAAAATCAATTTCCTTAAAAGGGATTTGGAAGTTGAAAGTAGAAAGTTTTCATCCTAAGGATAAGCTTTCATTATGTTAATCGGAAAATTATTGAGAGTAGACAGAAAAAATTGCAGTGACAGAACTCATCTCTCCATTAAGTATGAAAGATATCTAAGTGCGAAGTAGAAACATGATCAAATTCTCAAATAATAGCGCTCGGTAAAACGCGGGGCTCGAAATTAGACTGTAACAACTAAATATCTGATTGCCCGGGCTGCAATATTTGTTTTATTAGTGCGCTGGTTGGTGGGTTATTAACTTCAGAATTTATATTCGGTTTTTTTTTTTTACTGTAGGGGCAGAGCCGTATCCTACAGTGTTAAAAAGTGTACGAAAACAAAACATTTCACACTGCATGTAATCCTTCAGATAGTTTTGGTTATCACGTTTTGTGCCAATGTTTTGCAATTTGCCCAAAACATATATATCAACCCGTGCCTAAAACTAGTTAAACTTTTTATAATCCAATTTTTAACCAGATTAAAAATTACTTGGATCTTTAGATCAGAATTTCGACGAGAGCATTTGCAGCAGCTTTCAAACATGTCAAGATTTCTGTCGGCTGACAATTAAGTTTAAGGAGTGATACCTTCAAGTAAGTTAGCATTTAAAACGAAACCAATTTACCGTCTACATCAACTTCGCGTATCATTTCCTGAAGTTCGTCTTCAGTGGGGTTTTGTCCAAGGGACTTCATGACGACTTCGAGCTCTTCATTGGAAATAGTGCCGCTACCATCTTTGTCGAAGAGCGAAAACGCTTCGCGTAATTCTGTACAGGAGAAGAGTTCAGTACAAATTCATTATTACCGATTCGTTCTGGTCTGAGCAGCTTTCAGAACTTGTAATGTTACAATCAAAATATAAATGACATCTCCAGAGATGTTTCAATGTCTTACCGTTAATTTGTTCCTCTGTAAGTTGGCGCTCGACCTGACAAAAGAGGAACACAGAATACACAGGATCAGGGTGAGTTTAAGTGTTTAGTACGAAAAAGAGAAATCGAAATACGCAGTCTCCAAAACTCCAGACCTAGCTGGCTTGCACTTCGCGCAGGCTTTCGATGACACTCCGTTGTGAGAAAACATTTGAAAGCGGCGCTTGTTAGACCAGCAATCAAAGCAGTAGCAAAATTGTATTCGCAAAATGACGCTATCGTTTGCTTACCATGTTTTTTACTCGTAGAAGTGAAGGAACCTTTCGCCGTACGGCTCATACACCTTGGTTTGTGGTGGACAAACGCGCTCGATAATAAACAGCTCGCAGCTCGTAGCAATCAATACATACAGTCAAATTCGCATAAATTTTCAATGTTTTGCTGCTTCTGACGTCATCGCGTTTTGGAAGCCTCCCGAACACTCCGAACTAATTTCCATTTTCAATGTAATGACGCGACTGAACACCTGTATACAAATATAATACTTGTGTTTGATTGGATGCAGAGCAAAGAATAGGTTTGTATTCTCATTACAAAAACACCAGTAGCCACATTGACGAAGCTTCCTCTTATTATTTTGTCTGTGAACGTTGAATTTCCCCGTCATCCACATTAATCTTTTAAACCATTACAGAAAGGTCACACTCTTTTGCAATTGAAAAACTTGCAAAAATACTCGCTGAGCACTTGACTTGCTGTTAAATCCTTTGAAAACAAGAATGAAAAACAAAGCTTTGGTCGAAATGGCTTGATTTGAAAAATAATGACCTCCTTTTCATTTGCGAGGTGTCAGCGGTCGAAAATAGCCGAGCCCCGATCAGCCAGTCCCTCAAGGCAAAGGAAAGCGACTAACATTTAGTTTTCCGGAAAGCGATCGATAAGTTATTGAATAACGTCTCATGCACTGCGTTTAGATGAAGCATTACGATAGCTTTGAGGCTGAACAATTGTGACTTGTCAAGTAAATCATAGAATTGTATTATATTTTGTCGCGGACGTTAAATATTTGTGAAGAATAACAAGGAAATTTCTCTCCATTAGCAACTAAGGGAGACATGTTGAATAATCAAACCTCAAGGGCAATTTAATAGGTGTAGGAAAAGTGGAAGTTTTATAATAGTGAGATAAAACGAAAAAAAGGTAGCAGTATACGAAAACAACAGTAAACATTTAAATACGTAGTATATGTGAGAACTAGCTGTAGATTCTAACTTTTTCCTGAAAAATTTAGCCCATTTTCTCAGTCTGAACAGCCAAATACAGTCCTTCAGTTTTTCTTTTCTTGGCGCTGTTCGAGAGAAAATCGTATCTTTCTTCTTTCATTTCCTTCCCTTATTTTTCAAAATAATCTTTCAATCTTTTTCGCGTAGTTCCCATGCAAATGAGATTATCACATATTACTGCAGAGTGACGAAGTTTCAGGTTTTCTTTTGGGTATTCACACGTTCCTAATGAGTTTTTTTACCATAAAGGAAAACTGCAAGACTTAGACATTTTTTCTGACTTCTCCACATGGATTACTTAGACTTTTTCCAATGATTCAAATTGCGTGTTCATATGAAAATTCCCTGAAGGCAGAAATTAAGAGAAATATTCCTCGTTAAAGACATTTCGTCGGTTCTTTCTTTCATCTGTCAAAATATTTGCATTAGCTGTATCAACAGTTATTGTTCACTAGCGTGCAGTGACTAAAGCCGCCTAAGTCTGGTTAGATGTTTATCTTGCTTATTAAGCCGTGAGCAGAACTGCGTGCAGTGACAGATCGAAACTTTTGAAAGTTGACTATAGATAAATATTTAGCAATAATTATCACTTAAGAGGAACTACGAAAGAAACCGGATGCGATGTCTCCTCAAAACAAATTTTAGAGTGGAAGAAGGTAAAACCTCACAGAGGGTTACTTGGGTTACCGTATACCCGTGCGCAAATCACGGAGATGCTTTCCTTTAAGGAGATACCATAAAGATCCGAAAGTAACGACCCTCGTTACTTGTACTTTGACTATTTTCAGAATTACCAGCCTTAGGAGCTCGCTACTTCCGGGGGTAGCTACAGTCGCGTCGGGGAGCAAACAACATTATGTAATGTGTACAAAAGACGGAATCCTTGAAACATGACATGAAATTCTTTCTTTCAGTTTGAATTTACCATGTCTGTCTATGTCTAGACCGTGTTGTCAGTGGTCAGCAGAAAAGCTAGCCAGACATCGTAAACTGTTTCTACATCATGCCGCGAACTACATGCTACGTGACTCTGCTGTATCAAGATTTCACTGCGCTGGTCGAGTTGTCAATTTTAATTTGAAGAAAACTTCCTCTTAGTACATTACTGTTATTTGATGGACATTTCGGGGGTTTTAGGTTTACACGGCGCAACATGAACTGATGAAGCACAAATAGGCCACTTTCGATATATCAAAATTCAGCTTAATAGTAAGGCCTAGAGGACACAAACAAAAGAAATGAATAAACACGGTCATTCAATTTCCTTTGTTTGTGTCCTCTAGGCCTCGCTTCAAGCTAAATTTTAATATATCGAAAGTGGCCTATTAAGTCAGTTTTGTTCTGTTTTCTCTCTCACACCAATAAGCATGNGGGGGGGGGTCGTTAGTTTTGGGATAATACGGTACATCTTTTGAATAGAGATCCATTTACAGACTTCATTATGTATCGCTGATAGTGTGACTAGAAGGGCAATTAACAACGAGACACACGAAAGTGTTAAATATCAAGGGTTAAATTTATTCCAATCATGAGCGTAAACAGCACATACATCACTGGGTTATATTCTAATGCCAAAGAAGTTAGTTTTAATTGAAACATCTTTGTTATGAGACTACAATGCAGTTCATAATAAGCTAGTTCTTATAACGTATACTTTCCACATCCATCTCAAATTGGTCTCACCCATTTTCGTTTCCTTTCTTGAAGCTGATTGGCAAGAGGACAGTGTAATGAGACAGAATTAAACACTGTATAATTATCAAATCAATAAACCATAAAACTGTATATGAATGTTAATGCTATTTCTTGGGCGAAAGACCGTCTTTTTTGTTCAGTTTAAATATATGATATGCAAGTCGATTTAAAGCAACGACACGAAGTTGGCGAAGTTAAAATCCAGCGACTCTGTTAAGAATCGCTTTACATTTCTCACTAACTTGAATAACTTAATTGTCTATGAATAATACCAAAATGAATCTTTCAATACGCGCGTGATTGTCTATTCAAAAGCTTACCAATTAAGAATAAGTAACTAACATTAACAATTAGCTAAATATGACTATGCCGTAATCATAGGAAGGCGAAAAAAATATACTTTGAAACAACTCACTTTTCTGTCGAATAGTTGTTGTAAGCTAAAAAGGGCATATACTGACAAGACGTAGTATAAAAATTACGCCCTTGAAGAAAGTTTAGTCACCACACCTTTCACCACTGGGCTAGGATCTTCTCAGGCATGCAACTCTAAGATCCTTTCCGTTCGGATTAGCTGGCGCCATCTTAGATTTGAACAGAGGAGACCCTGGGGTGAAGTTTGCTCCACGAACAAATTTGCGCATACGTGTTTCATTACAAATGATTCATTTCTGTAAATAGCGACTTCCAGTTTAAAACAATTAATTTCTCTGTGGTAAAAAAAACATGAATTAAGCTACTGCGCGTAATGGTTTTATTTTCTCCTTCGTAATCCATCTAAATCTTTCTTAGTCGAAGTCATCCTTGTCTAGGTTGTCAAGTTTTTCATTACTCTACCATAGGAAACTATTATTTTGAGATTCAATTTCAAAATAATCAGAAAAATGACTTGAAATATCGTGACATTGGTCATTTATTACAAAATCATTAAGCACTATTTACCAGGTGTGGTATTCTTAATTTCCTTGCTGCTATCTATTTTTTTTTTATCATAATCAACTCTGAATAACTATGAGGAGTTAACTCGAAAACCATGTGGTTACTTTAGCTTTCTCTAGACTCCAATTACTTTCCTTAGAATTTTGTTTAATCAACTTGTAATCTGATGTGTATAATTCTTGTCCTGAAATTTATGTTAGTGTGAGTCCATAAAGATTATTGTTGTTGTTGTTGTTGTTAAGATGTAACTTCTAAATCTGCTTTATATGAATGCCAGCGGTTAACATAAATGTAAGACTAATGAATAATCAAATGAAGTTTAACTGAACTGTAAATGTCAGCATTACTGAATTTACTCAAGAGAGATAGATACTAACATCACATTGAAAAATGGATGAACGAAATAAGCGCCCCCAACTTGCTCCCTCTCAAAATAAAAATTAACTTAAATATAACATTAAAATGTTTCAGTTTAATGTATTATCAAAATATCAATTTAGAAGTTAAAAAGAAAAGACTTATCCTTATGTTCAATTATTTCATTTAAACGTATGTTAGAGGTAAAGCTGAGACCACTATTGTGCAAGTCAAGCCTAACCGTGCATAAACACAACAATGTATACTTCATTTCGAAGTTAAAACAAATCTTGATATTTCAAGCTACACTCGCTAATGTAACGCGTTAACCAGGCAACATTTCAACAGCAACTGATAATAAGTGTAATGTCTTCTTGTTACAAGACAGTGTCAAACCAGTGTCTTTTTACAACATACTCCTTCTCCCCCTTAACAAACACTCGTCAAAATTTTGCTAGGATCTTTTATCTTCTTGTCAAGTGGCGGTGCATTCTGAGGGACAAGTGCAATAATTGCCACCAAGCGTTGAAAAGGTTTCACCCTCAAGCAAGGTTATGTTAAATCTCAGAAGTTGCTTTACTTGGTCATTAGAAATCGGAATTCTGTGGCAAAAGTAGAACAAAGAAAAACAGTTAGAATTTAGTCTACTAGCAGGCAAACCGAAGCACTTTGCCTCACTCATATTTTTTGTTTTTGTTGTTTGTAGTCATCATAGCACCCTTAATGCCTAAGCACGCCTTCATCAGATAGCATGAAAATGCGTTGACAAGATATTTTGGGAAAAATAACTAATAACATCAATAGAAAAAAGATCCCCCTTCCCCCCTGCTGACAACGTTGTAAACGATAGATGACGACTTCATCAGGATAAACAACATTGAATTGAGGGGGAGGGGACGAACTGATAAATTCCCCAGACAGATATTGCAAAAGTGGGCAAGTGTGCCAGGACTTTTGTCGGGGATTGTAGGAAGAGAATTCAAACATAGTCATTGCCTCAGTCATAATTTTTATCTGACTACGGCTCTGTTTACAGTTGCTAAAGTTTATCATCTGACACTCAGTTAAATTCAAGCTGCATCATTGATGACGTTTTTCTCCGGTTCGAATTCAGTTTTTGTTTCATTTTCAAAAAAACTTTCACAGTGCAAATGTCACAATACAAAGTTCTGGTGATCTGCCAGCGTAAATAGAGCGGATGCACATCACGTCATGGCAGCTATATTGGTGTTCCAAAACAATGAAACGGCAGTCATGTTGGTGTACAAAACCAATCCTGTAGGAGTTGAACACTTTTCTTATGTAGTCTCACGTCGGGAGTTAAACTCTCTATCAAGTACTGACCATACTGTGAGGGTCATTCAGGTGAGTCGAGGGAAAAGGCAAGTCTTTTAAGTGGCGTTATAAAACAATTTATGCTTTCTTGAATATTTTGACATCTTGACTAGTCCGTCGTGGAAATACAGTAGGAAGTGCAGTCATCTCTCGTTATAGCGGACACGTTTGGGGACGTCGTCTGGCGTCCGTAATAGCGAGAGTCCGTAGAAACTAAGAATTTTAGTTCTTGCTATCAGTTTTTCGTTCGACGGTGGAGCCGCCACACATCTTGAAAATTACCATTTGCATGTGCTACATCGTTTGTGCTAATTATTAAAATGACAGTCATAAATTCAAATTTGGCCCTCAAACAAAGTTTTCTGATTTATTTTACCTTCATAATCAATCTGTCCATCTCCATTAAGGTCAGCCTCTCTCATCATTTCATCCAACTCTTCATCTGTGAGTTTCTCGCCAAGATTCATCATAATTTGTCTTAACTCGTGCGCACTTATCAGCCCGTTTCCATCCTTGTCAAAAATTCTGAATGCATCCCTTATTTCCTCCTCTGTATCGTTTGTAGTTATTTTCTTAGACATCATTTGGAGAAACTCTTCAAAATCTATCTCACCATTTCCTAAAAAACGAACAAATACTATGAAAAGTGAACAGAGAAGAATTGCAGTGATCATTTTAATAACGTTTATGTTCGTCACAATTACCCTAGAATTTCCGAATAAAAGTAAAGTCTGCATACGAGCCTAGTGGCCCATCAGGCCGGAGCTTATCCCGGTTTCTGTAGCATGAAACGACCAGGAGTATTTATACTCTCCCCTGGATGGGATGCTAGTCCATCGCCAGGTTACCCCCAGCATTAAATTCGCCGGTACCCATTTGTACACCTGGGTGGAGAGAGGTACTGTAAGAGCAAAGTGTCTTGCCCAAGAACACAACACAATGTCCCCGACCAAGGCTCGAACCCGGACCGCTCGATCCAGAGTCGAACGCGCTAACCATGAGGCCACCGCGCCTCCTAGGAATTTCCGTAAAGTGTTGTCAAATCAGAAATAGCATGAACATTCTAATAATGACGTCATATTACTCAAGAACATCTTTGCGAAAAGACCCGACGATTCAGCTGGATTCCGACAATATTAGACGTCTCTCGTTGGCATCACTCGATGAACGTCCGATCATTGTAAGCCAGTCATAAGCAGCTGCCTTCGTCGGTCGGAAACATCCGAGAAATTTTCGATTCTAGACGGACAATAAAAATTAACAGCCTTCGTCGGTCAGATCAAATCCCGTTGCCGTGAACTGACAGTTCACAGTTTATGCCAGGTAAGGGATTTTTCTGACTGCTATACAAGAATTTGAGATTTTCGGGCGATTTTTAAAATCCAGAATTCTTTAAATCAACTGAGGAATAAGATATATTGAGTTCTAGATCAAACACACCGTCTTCATCTACATCAGCTATCATTTCCTTCAGTTCGTCTTCAGTTGGATTTTGTCCCAAAGATCTCATCACAGCAGCAAGCTCCGATGACGAGATCGATCCACCGCCATCTTTGTCGAACAAGGAGAACGCCTCTCGGAACTCTAAACAGAATGCAAAGGAATATAAATGATTTTCCCATACGCGTTTCTTATTCTGCTCGTTTATTTTGTGCCAAATACAAACTAAACAATCTGATGTTTCTGAGCAAGACAAGATTCGACTTCCGTTGCTTCGTGGTAGAGGTTAATAAAAAGAAATGGCGAGATAAAATCATTGAAAAAATAGCGGGAAAGAACTTTTTTAAAAAGTGTCTAGTCACGAAAAAGGGAACAACGTCCATATATGGCAGCAAAAATACCGCACCCAGATCCCACAATTAAAGGCAGAACTCATTGCAGCAGTGATAGGAGTGGCTCAAACGATCAGTAGTTAAGCAGAGCACTTTTTCCTTGTTTACATAGCCTCATCTAAATAAGAAGGGGGTTCGGAGAATTCGAAACAGTTATGCAAACCCGAGTCTTGGTTTGCATATTAACTTTCGAGAATTCTCTCAACCCCTCAGATGTTTAGACGAGGCTATGTAAGCAGGGAGAGAGTACTCTGTTGCTTTTATAAAATAATTCACAAAAATACGCTTGAATCTAAAACGTCACAACCGTGTTTACACACTCTCATGTAAACACACATATCGACCAATGAAAGCGCGCATAGTATCTCAGTTATTTATCAAAATACCAGCGCTCCTCCTCTGATAGTCTTGATAAGCAATGCATGACTTTTGATTGATTAAATATTTTGAACTAAGAAACTTTTTCCATTTTTTTTAAAGTTTGTGGCAGCAATTCCAATTATAGACCGCAACTTGAGCGTGCTTAGTCGAGAAACTCGATTCTCCTTTAATCGTAGTGTAAAAATTGGCATCCGCTATATCGAAGTGGTTTTGGTTCCTTTTTGCTTGATATGGCTTAACTTCATCACTTGTATCTGCAAACACAATATCTCGGTAGTTCCTTTAGTATAATATAACATTGTACATTAGTTACAGTTTGCAGATAAGTCAAAGTTCGAAGACTAAAGATCTGCTGACCAGCGTAACACAATTCGATAAATCTCTTGAACTCAATTTTTGTTTTACACGCCGTAAAAGAATTGCTTGAATGATTTCTTTAATCAAAATCTGAATATAAATTCTTGATAGTGGCTACCAAGTAAACCTTACCAGCAATTTGACGTGGATATGTTCCTTCGAGATTCACAGTACTTTGAGTTTTACTGGCAGTTTCGCTCATTGTCGCGTTTTAGGACACACTAAACGAATCATCAGTAAGTTTCTGGGTGATTTTACGTTGTCGCCTTTCATGAAAAACCTAAAATCGATGTTATTAATAAACAGGATTCCAAGCCATCAAATATTTACCAATCTCATAAGAAATTCAATAGCCACTTGAGTTGTGATATTAGACCCCCCGGAGGGGGAGTGCTCCAAGCAAAGTTGGGTGGGGGTGTGTGGCCCTCTTCCCAAAACCCTTACCTTATTAATGACCAAAATCTGCGTGCCTACCCTATTTGCGACCTGACCAAAAGTTCGATACCTTATTTATGACCGGACCTTTAAATCAATACCCTTTTTCAGACCTGTCTTATAATGAGTTCCTTAGTTCAGACTGATGTTTATGGCATTATGAAGGGCTTTTGTTGATGGTCTTATCAATAATGATGAAAAAGTGGCTTCGTCTAGAAGCATACCTATTTCAAGACAAAAGTGCAAAACCGATACCCTATTTGAGATCAAAATGGCCAAAATCGATACCCTATTTCTGACCAAAACGGCTAAAAAGCCATACCCTTTAGGGCCGACATACCCATATAGCCCATATAAGGGAGTAACCCCTCCCCCCGTACTAGACCTTACTCGATCAATTACTTTTGGTTATTTTCAATTCCGTTATCTGCGCAGTAGCAGCTTCGCACAATGTGTGGTAGAGATTAATTATTTCAGTGAAAAGTTGTCAAGTTAACAAAGCCTGTTCATGATATGTCTAGAAATATCTTAAGTAAAAAAATAATCAGTCGTTCTATGATGTTATGGAGGAAAACAAAAACATTTTTTGATTAAAAAGTGTTGGAAATAATTAAAGATAATAAACTCAACCAGAGGATGCTTAGTGGCGTGTTGTTTAACACAATGGTGCATAAATTCCTTCATATTTTACTTTCAAAATTCTGATGGCCAGATTGCTTTCGCGGGCTGGGTCGCTATGATGAAATTTACCATCCAGAAAGCATCCTCGGATACCCAGGGGCTGCTAGTCGGGACGATGCCATATTTTCGGGCGAAAGTTTACTTCAAGAGCAGACAAGCCCCCTGGGCACTTATTCTTACTGAACCAGTTCCAGAAGTGTTCGAATTCCGTCCCGCTGATGGGCCAGAAAAATATTTTATCAACTTTAAAAACTAGTTCTTTTGTACTTTTAGTTTCAAAACAGTACGCCGTCACTAAACGTCACGCGTGACTGTGTTGTGATAGCATTTTAACTTCCTTAGAAATTAAGTCTAAGGAAGTTGTTGACGAATGACCGATTTCAACAAAGTAGTCATTGGCTTAAGGCACCCTCCACACTACACCGGGAAAATCTGAAAACGTAGCTTTATTTCTACGGTCATGCCTACCGTCCACACTAATCCGTCACGAAAACGGATCTTTACGAAAACGCACTCCGGAGGAATTTGAAAACGTCGGCTATGCGTTTTAGTGTGGACAGAAAACATTTTGAAAATGGAGCTTTTCGAAAACGATGACATCGCGATAATCATGTGATTTTCCTGCGATAATCATGTGATTTTCATGTGATTTTCCGCAAAACCAAAATGACCGATGATTGTTGAGTTTTCAGATTCCTCCGGCGTAGCGTGGACGGAAAATTGATGTGTTTTCAGAGCGCAGACACCATTTAAAATTTCTCTAGCCTAGTGTGGACGGGGCCTAACATTAGACATCGGTATTCAGTGCTAACGTGAAACCTGGGCGGGTGTAGATGTGGAGGGTTCACAAAAACGAAATTAAATTGTTTCATTTTCTTTGCCCAAATAGACGCAATCTACCCATCAAAGCCTTACAGTGAGAGCGCTGAATATAAATTGACTTTGTTGGACAGTCTTCCGTGCAGCATAAGACTTCAAAGGAAAATGATTGTTGTGATCATGAAACTCCCACTAAAAATATAACGCGTTCAGGGCCGTCAGGTTTTTAGAGAAAGTTTCGAACCTTTGTGTGAAGTCAGACAACTGTTTACCAATATAAAAACTTGTATTGATATAAAAATGACCAATATTCGCTTTGCATGAGGAAAGAATCTAGTGCAGAAACATCATTATACAGGACATAATTTGCTTAGTCATGAAGCCATCAAACACAAGTCAGACCACTGTTAATGGATTTGTTTATGTCAATCATTGCACTACCAACTTCTTACTACGTTGAACTTCAGTGGATTTCCAGTCTAAAGTTTAAAACATAGATATTGTTGCCTTTGCTTAACTTTAAAATATGGCTTAGATGGTTCGGTTGTCCGCGAATCGGTGTTTTTCCACCACTCGTTTGTGAAGCTGCTTCACTGAATAATTAAACATGTGTAGATGTTCTATTCGTACACTCAACACTAAAGCTGCCGGCGGCAGGTGCGGTGTCTTGTCATTGTTTCCTTAAACATCACTCCCAATCTAAGATGTTTTGCATACAATTCAGTCTCCATGTACTAAACAGTTTGAACATTTCCCAGTCAAATACCTTGTTCATATTTGAAGGCATGCTAAATTAAAGAAAGCCGCCAAGTTTAATTCAACTCGCAGTCATCATTGCTGTACATATCGATCGGAAAGGAGTGGATACTTTTGAGTTTTCGCTTTCGAATCATATGCACGCTTCTGCCTCGTGTTTTTGAAGACAAAAGAAAACGTTTGTTCCTTAAGGCAATGCGTTCGTCCCAGATTAAGCTGCCTCTCAAAGTTCACAACACACTCGGATATTCTCATTACCGCAAACTTCTTATACAATTGGCTTTTACTTTCGATACTGCTCGGTTTCTTACCACGTAGATGAGAGAACCGCAGCATCGGTCATGACAACATTGCCGAATTAATATGCTAAGCATGGTTTTTGCTGGTGACCAAATACTCCGAATCAACAAAACGCAACTAAATGGAAAACTTACCAGCGACTTGCTCTTCGGATAGCCTTTTGTCCTGTTTCTATGGACAGACAGTTTAACAAAAGAAAGCTTAAACACAAGCAGGAACTCCAAAACACAGATAAATTATTGTAACCATCCTAGCTATCAACTCATTCTGTGGTTTGTACGCGTTGTAAAACAAACGGGTGCTTCACAAAAATTGTAGGCGAATAAATGAGCAGTGTAAAAGATTGTACCTCTGTCGTTTTATTCGGCATTCCGTTCATCGGGGATAAGGATTTTAAATCTTCGAACAAACCATCCTGAGGGAATATTGTTTACTTCTGTTTTTTTTTTCTCGCCAGCGCACGTTCTCTCGGGGGTCTAGAACTGACTGCTGTCTCAACAGATAAATTATTTATAGTTGCCATTTGCCCCATCAGCATAGTGTGATATCGAGTGAAGCTCTCACGTCACTAATTCAACTCCATGTGGGTATTAAGTCAGACAGGCGAAAAGAGGAAATCATGAAGAAAAAGCACGCAAGATTATTAATATTGATTTTGGTAGGTTTGATGGCCGCGGTAATATTTCGACGTAAACTTTGCTTCGTGACTCAGCGCAGCAGAGCGATATTAGAAGGTAAAAGAAGCTTGCATGAACTCAGTGTTGTTTTAACCCATTCAATATAATTTGAAAGAAAGATCTTAATTACTCAAGGCGACATGAAACTCCGTGACAAATAATGGGTTAACAAAATTAATCCCCACGGTGGTTTTAATTCAAAATGAAATCATTTTAGTTTCAACCTGAGTTTCAACCGTTTAAAACTAAGTTAACTCCGTGACTAATCTAAAATGTATGTCTTGTTGGTTTTACTATCAGTAATAAATTTTGCTTAATATGCACGACCATTAACATTTGATATAAGATACTAATTGTTACTAGGTAAGGTACCATTGTAGTTCAAGTCCATTCGGTGACGTATGGTTTTGGCGGGGAGAACCTGGAGCCGAAGGGCAGGCGATAATGTAATACCGAGTACAGCGGATAACTTCAAAATTCAACATGGCGGCTTGTCCCGCAATTTTCATTATTCTTGTCTATCTGTTTTCCACTTGTTTTTCCCTCAATATTTCTCTTGGAGGAAGTCCAAACATTATCATCTTTATGACTGACAATCTCTCTATTGGAGATCTAGGCATTTACAACAATAATTCGTCGCAAACATTAACTCCAAACATCGATCGTCTAGCGGAAGAAGGAGTCGTATTTTCTCGCTGGTATTCTCAGTCATCAAGGATTTCATCCATCGCATCCTTACTAACGGGATTATTACCACCTCGTACTGGAATTATCAAAAGTAAGTTTCTTTCTTTCAAGGAAATCCCGTCGATTGCATCTTCTGGAGGCTTACAGCACAACGAAACAACCTTGGCAGAAGTTTTAAAGGCGAAAGGTTACGCCACAAATTTTGTGGGCTTGTGGGGTTTAGGGGTGGGAAAAAATGGAGAATACTTGCCTCTTGGTCACGGGTTTGACTCGTGGTATGGGGTTCCATCGGCACACAAAGACCAGTGCATGGAAAGCTACAAGACAACGTCAGATTCGCAATACACTTGGCAAGCAGTGTGTTCGTTCTTCAGTCCGTTGCTTTATATTCTTCCATGTGTTGCCTTCATTGGTTGGTATAATGGACTTGGCAAGATAATCACTGTTTTCACGGTTATAATAGCTTTCATCTTGTACAGCAGTATACTGCATGATGTGATTCACTTTATGATGGATTTCATCCAAGTAAGAAGTTGTGTTCTGTACAGAAACAGAAGTATTATAGAACAGCCCTATACTATAGAAAACATGACCCTGCGGTTTACAAGAAATGCTGTACAATTTTTGGAGACATCGTCAATTTCAAGTAAACCCTTTTTCCTTTTTGTCAGTTACATGAACCTCAATCACCCAGTATTTACATCACGGTTCTTTTTAAATTCAACGACAAGTTCATACTCTGATGCTCTGAAAGAGGTAGACTGGAGTATTGGAAGGATACTAAGAACATTGAAGGAACGTGACATTGATAACAGTACATTAGTTCTGTTTACGTCAGCGACTGGACATTACTTTGATGAATCATGTGACACTTGTAAAGAGGAAGAGACTGAGGATAGTGATGAAACCATATTTTTAAGAGGTAAGACAGACCTCTTTTTTTATTGATCATTTATAATAATGATAATTTTATTATTATAAATTGATACTGATTATTAGTTTTAGGCAACAGGAAGGGTTAGTTTAGACTTCCAGTTGTTTTAGTGAAGCACAAAGATGATGATGATGATGAAAATGATGATGATGAGGACAGTGATGGTGATTGACGAGCTTCTGGATAGTGATTTATGAAAGATTGTGCCAGGCAGGATATAAGCTTCAAGAAGAGGATGTAGGTATCCATGGCAACCCAGAGAGTGGTAACCACCTGGCACTGTCTCATTAAAAAATCATTTGAGATACTTATCAACCCAAACAATGAGTGGCCAATAGCAGTGAGGAAGATGGAGTGAAAGGCATGCAAAAAGCTTAAAGTAACTGAGCATCCTCACACAGCTGAAAATGATGCAAAACATGTAACTATAGCCTTGAAAAACCCACAGCACACAACTACTCCAAAATGCTGCTGACCAGCATTGGTTTAAGTCAAACTTGGCCTCAACATTCATAATTTCCTTCATAATTTGATAAGTAAATAAGATCCAGAACAGGATGAGAAACATTTTTCGACTCAAAAGTTGTTTTTAATACCCTCTCGTGAAGTGACAGTAAATTTTGTAGGTTAACTATCATTATACTCCGAACAAGAGTACACATGATTAATGTTGTTTCCCCAGGGGGACTTCCATTTAAAAGGACAGGGGTGCTCATTGGAAATTTTGAAAAGAACCACTAAGAGGTACCATGGGTACGTGGGTGTGGCTTGAAATTTTTTTCACTCCTAAGAGGTGCCAAGTCTAAAACATGTTATCTCCTGTCATATTTTTCCAGCTCAATACCCTATATGGTACTGCGAAAGCTCCCGCTATGGACTTTTTGAGACTGAACACCCTAGGAGGTACCCACACCAATTTTTCAACCCCTAAAAGGTACAACGAGCACTCCTGACCATTTTCTATGGGAGCCTTCCCTGGAGATGTATCTTTATCTGTGACAACAAGCTACGTGAATGTTATTCTCTTGAAGGTAGCAGCAAGAATGATATTTGTGAGAGCATCATTCGTGTGCCAGCATTGATGAGATGGAAAGAAGAACTTGCAGAAAGACAGATAATCAGAACGCCTGTGACAGTGATGGATGTCATGCCAACTGTATTAGAATTATTAAATCACAGCACTGGTGCATTCTACTCGGACGGCAAAAGTTTATTGCCTGTCTTGTTTAACTCGTCACAGGAATCTCAACACAAATATATTTTCCATTATATAGAAGTTACCAAGCCTGCAGCCATAACTTCTGGCCCTTACAAAGTTGTATATACAGAGATTAAAGGTAAGTATCAAGTCTAGGAGATGTGACTAAGGTTTTGCTACTTGGGTCATTAGGTCTACATACTACAAATGTTATGCATTTAGCTTGTATGTTTTCTTTTATCAAACAAATCCTCTAAATGGTCTCAAATCAGTATGCTGGACACATGTACAACAATATATCTATTACAGTGCTGGTATAAAGTTTTGAGTCACCTGTTATTGTTGTCCACACCTGAAGCAAACTTGTTACTTTGTGGTTGAATTCTATCAACAACAGGCAATATCAATGGAAAATCAAACATACTCAGCTGTAACAGGTGTTACTGGTTACAGTCCTTAATAACAGCCCAGTTTAAAGAGGGTGACACCGAAAAAGTTAACCCTAACCATGCTCTAAGTATATATATTACACATTAAACAGGATTTAGGAAGTCTTAAATTATATTGCCATTCTTATCGTATTTTAATTCCTCTGGTACCCACTGGGGTTGCAAAGAACCTTCTGCATTTAAGAGTTGGCTAGGTTGCACAATCTAACCTTGAATTAGTAAGCATACACACAATGAAGCTATAGGCTACCTCAAACCCTCTGCACATGTTTAGGGCCTGTTGCATCATTACATATTTGTCAGATTTTTATGATTTTAATTATTTCTCTGTTCTCTTGTTAGTTTTAGGTTTGATTGATGAGATGTATCAAACATGGGAGACAGTGTTTTATCATATTTTCAAACACGTTCAAACTTCTCAAAAGTATGCTGCTGCACATCATATTTTCAACTCTCTTCTCAGTGTTTGGAAATGTGGTAAGACACAGTTACTTGTGTTTGATACTTAAGTATTACATCAAGCACATGCAAACCATTCTAGTTCCTTTATTTTTCTCTTGATCAGATAACAGAGGACAACAGTCCTTTGAAACTCCACTGCTGTTTAATGTCGAGACAGACCCAGAGGAGACATCACCTCTGCCAAATGCAGAACACAGTGAGCTTTTGGCAAACTTTTCAGAAGCCCTGGTTGATCACATGAAAACAAGAAGAAATAAATGGCACTCACAGCTGGATAGTAGAATAATTCCTTTCTGGTTTCCTTGTGCAAATTTTCCACATTGTTTCCAAGTTTGTAACGAGAACAGTGACTTTTCAGATTTGTTCAACTGAGAGACTTCATGTGTAAGCAGTTAAGGTGTGGTGAATCAAAACTAGGTTGCCCACAGTTTGCTGAACAAACAGGCCTTGTTATAAGCAAAGTAGTAGTGAACACCTACTTGCTGTTTTTAAAAAAGACATTTGTTAATTAAATTTCATCTGTAATCCCAGTTAATCTTAGAGAAAAAATTGCAAGGAAAAAATGGATAACTATAGGAAAAGCTGGCCTGCTTACAGGCTATGGTTTCAGTCAGTCATTTACAGTTGATTCATCACCCCTGACCTCAACAGTATCTCCACTTGGCCAAACTCAAATACCACACCTATTTCACACCTGATACATTACTTGCAAAAAATTTTGGACCATTGTAATTTCAGACAAAACGTCTCCAAAAATAAAAGTCTGAAATTTTTGAGTGTCCAAAATTTTAAGTGTCCAAACTATTTGCAAGACAGTAATAATACTTTGAAGAAGCTCCAGAGCTCTTAGTCTCCTTTATGCTGGGCTTTATGGAGCAAACTCTAGTTGAGACACTACTTGACATATGTGTATGTAACACCTTGATAGAATTTGTCTAATTTTCTCATTGGTGTATTTGTAAAACCTTGTAAAGCGCAGAAAAACTATCATCTTTTGATGTTGTTCCAGTCTAATTTGCTGTTTTTTGCTGTAAATTACTTAAGCTATGTTTCAGCAAAGTGTCCGAAATGAGATAAAAGTGTCTGAAAATTAATTGTCTGAAATAAAACGTCTGAAATTTTATGTAATAATGTACGTTTCTATGTTTCATGTGAAAATCAAATGAATATCTTTTTGTCATCCAAGTGTCTGAGTTTACTACAACAATCAAATGAAAACTGAATATTTGCAAAGCAAGCAGAAATATATTGACATTCAAAAAGATTATGTAAAGGCATTGCATTCATGTCATTGGCCGAGGTTAAAATTCCCAGCAAGATGCTCCTGGCTCTTTGCAAGTTTTCCGTTTTGACCTGTCACACCATCTTTTGGGGAGAAATTATTCCATGAGATGGCAAAAGAATACATGCAATGAAAACCAAAAAAAATTGTAATTTTATCATTGTAATTTATAAAGTCTCCTTTGCAGCCATTACTAGGGTCATCATGTAACACTTCTTCCTTCTAATGGCTGCTTAAATATTATGTGCACCCTAAACCAAGGGAAAGGAATCTGGTTCAGGTTTAAGCAGTTGCTAGTGGGGAGAAACGTTGCGCGACCACCCTAATAACGGCTGCAAGGGAGACTGTAACAATATACGGTCTGTACATAAAGTGTGTTTCTGCACAACCTTCACTTTTAGAGCCATAAACTCACTTTATTATACTTTTGAACATATTCATATTGTCTACAAATCTATCTTCCTTTGTCCAGTTGCCTACTGAAACTGGTTACTTAGTTACAATGCTGTATCACACTGTTAGTGACTGTGTCTGGCTGTAACATATTGGACATATTTGTATTCATTTAGTCAACTCTGAACATTTATTTGCACAAATGGTACGCTAAGCATTGCCTGACACAATGAAATCCTAGCATTTAAACACACTTCAAAATCCTGTGACATTTTTTGTGTTGTAAGACAAGCTGCACAGGTTTCATTTATGCAAAACATTATTCATATTATACACTGTAAACTTGTAAACCATCGCAAGCAAAAATGACACACAGTTGTCGTCATCATCATGATCAACGTCATTGCCAATTTCTTTGTCATTAGTAAAGAGCTCATCTATATTTTAATAATTTATACAATTGTCTCTAAATTGCAATCACATTTGTACCACAACCATTGCCATTTCTGTAACAGTACCAAGCTGTTGAGGCTTAGTTTCCATTTTGTGATCCCAAGAAGGAACTGGCAACTCCCTCATCAGTGTTTAAAGAATTCTCCTGATCTGGGGAATGAACAACTGTGTTCATAGCTTCATAGGGATTGGAGCATCTTTCCAAAACATGAAGCCATCTATACATGAATAAAACGACATCAAGGTTACTCCCATAGTCAGTTATGAGCATGTTTGAGGTAACATTCGTGTAGTGACAGTCATTTGATATCAAATGATACTGTCTAGTTGAAAAGGTTCAATTATATAATATGCCAAATTATTTCTACACTTTGATTGGTTCTCACCTATGATCTATAGAAGGACGGACATACAGATGACATCATTAACAGTTTTTGTTTCTTTAATATAGAGCAGATACTAGATTCCATGTTGCTGTACACTGTATGTCTGTTCAGTAACAGATCATAGAAGACGTCAAAATGTGGAAAGAACATCAGTGACACACTCGTCAAACGGCTTGTGTACCATTTTTTTTGTTCTTATCACATTTTGAAGTCATCTGTGATCTACAGGTATTACTGAAAAAATGCAAAGCAACATGGGATCTATTTGACTGTTAAACTGATACAGTATGTGACTAACTGGGGTATCACGTATGTATGTATGTATTATGTGGACTTTGTGAATAAAGTAGTTCTGAGCACTACATGTAAACAACTGGGAACAAAAAGCTTATTACTAGGTCTCGCTTTTTTACACACATGAACAGGATGCGGATTCCACTTTTTGATCCAAATAATTGCTAACGTTTTCACTGTTGCAGAATCCTTTGCTCTAACAAAAATATATTCATCAGAAATCCACAGAAAAGAAAGCATGATCATGCTGATATTAATCAATACATTTTTTGTCAAAGAAAAAAAGGACCGGTATAGTTCTGTTACAATCTGTGATGTTTGTTCTTTTTGCCATGGATAAAATAGGTTCCAAATTGTAACTGGCAGCAAACTGCATTAAAATTACAAAAACATTCTAGGAAGTGCTCTGCCCCTTATATGCGCTGAATGCAGATGACCATGGGTTGGAAGCTAGCTCCATATTCCTTAACTCCCTGCTTGGAGACTACTTGTTGGCTACAAGCCGTTATTACTCACAAAAGCAAGCAGATGGGAACAACAACCAGTCCTGACATCAAAAAGTACGAAAATCCTGGCAGCCATTCCACTGTGGCACTGTAAATATTATTAAAGATGATGGAAGCTAGAAGTGTCTCCAACACTTCCAGGGATGCAACAAGAGCAAATGTTGTACCTACAAAAAGAAAGTAGCAACAGGGGTAAGTTAGAAAATTTTGAGGCCAACTGATGATAGTTTGCTCCAGGAGAGATTGACACCTTATTTGTTAAGGGGTGTACTGTGATGAAAAGTTCCAATTTTTGGCATTGCATCTGTGGATGTTTAGTTTGATATAGTAAACTCCACAATAGTCATGGTTGATGTTCTTAAAAGACTGATACAGTCACAGCACTACCTCAAAATCCCCATATTCCATTCATAAACATGTGACAAAATCTGATGACATTTAATACTTATGCAATCTTTGTACAAGGAAATTTCACATACACCATTCTGGTCAATATTTTGACATAATATGACATGGTAATCTGTATGCAAAATAGAATCTGAAAGAAACATTACTACAATTTGGCTCAATATTTTGTCAATATGACAATCTTACTGTAAATTATCTGCATACAATATTGTATCAGACAGGAAGATTTTACGTAAAAACCATTTGGTCAATATTTTCTCAATAATTTTCTACAGGAAAGAAAAAAAACTTTTTTCAGAAGAAATTATAGAGGCTGTTACCTAGTTCAGAAGATTCCACTTGCTTTGAAATAATCGATCTTAGGCAAGGTGGAGGGATTCCAGTACCAACTGCGATTAATCCTCCTGAAAAGAAAACAGCAGTGAAGATGTTCTCTCATTTCAAGAAATCAAAAAACCCTTTGTGTTATTCTCATGTAATGAACACTCATCCTTTCTGCCATGGTCCCCTGACTCTTGGGAGAGTTCATGGTTCGGCGCATGTCTGTATTATTTATTTGGCTGTGCATGCTTTTTGGCACAGGCCCAGTTTTTCATTGTTTAGGAACCAATCGTAAGCAAGTTACCTACTTCCCATCCAAATACCGCTGGCTGTAAAATCATCAACTGTAGAATAAACTGTATGGGTCAACTCTAAATTCAGCGGTCGAAAGCGTTGATAAAATCCACTAAATTCTTCTGAGAATTTTGGTCATCAGTCATGCCATGACTTAACTATAGCATTTGATTACTTTAAAGCGATAACACTGATAAGAAGTCAACAAAAGTATTTTGATTTAGAGACATGCGCCGAACCGTGAAACCCTCCCTTTAAGAGCTAGAAGCAAGGTTTATTAAATTCTTCCAAGATGAGCCTCTAATCATAGGCAGACTAACCTTACCAGAAAAAAAATTAGTGTTGTATTATGTTTTGTTGTTTTTTGGCTGATCTTGAGAAATTATGGTCATTTTGGGTCCAATAAGAGTTCTCACAGTTCTCTGCATCCTAGTTGTTTTTAAAAATGTCTGTCTTATCTGGAATAATTAATTTAACTCTCTTGAACTCTCTTGTCAACAGCAGTTCTGAAGATCAACACTCAACCATATTTACTGCAGTGAATGCATGGTTGCATTTGTTATGTCTTGGTGAAAGGCAAAGTATTGCTATCTTTCCTGGTTAGCTGGGTGTTTACCATATCAAGGGTTTCAACCTGAAAAGTATTTTCATTTTTGCAATGTACTGAGAAGGAGAAAAAAAAAAAGAATAAGATGAAAATACAGTCCAACAGCTTTTAACTAAACATGGCAGGATTTTCAATACCATATGAAAGTATTTACTCGGGTTTCTACTACATAAAAATCTTAAACGCTACTGATACTTACCTACAAACATCATCCATTTGTTTGATGCAAGTCCAAGAAAAATATACAAGCAAATGGATGTGAAAGCGCCTGTAATAGCGATGGTGAGATCTGACCAATTGAGAATCTTATTCATTAGTGGTATCCCCAAAACGACCCCAATACCTTTAAGAAACAGAACCTCGGCAAAGAAGTAACCAATCTGTGAAGGACTGAAGTTGCGTGGACTGTGCTTGCTGTAGATAGCTGTAATATCATTGAAACCACCAAAAACTGAAAGCAAAGTGATAGTAAAAAGACATAATTAACAGTAAAAATAAAATGGTAATCATTTTCGGGAAATATGATCCATACCCACCTCCAAAGAAGAATTAAACATGATTATTTGCCTTTATTTGCTATTATGTTTTTTTTTTCCCAGACACCCGTCCCTAAATGCTTTGGTAAGGTAACAGGTAAAGTCTACATAGAGCCATGTGGCCCATCAAGCAGGCGCAAATATCTCCGGTTTCTGTAGCATGAAGTGACTAGGAGTATTTCTACTTCCCCCTGGATGGGATGCTAGTCCATCACAGGGTTACCCCCAGCATTAAATTCTCTAGTACTCACTTATACACCTGGGTGGAGAGAGGCACTGTAAAATTAAAGCGTCTTGCCCAAGAACACAACACAATGACCCCGACCAGGACTCAAACCTGGACTGCTAAATCCGGAGTCGAGCACATCAACCATGAGGCCACCACGCCTTCCAACGCCTTGATACATTATCTTTACCATAAAAAAGGTACTCACTTATTAGAATAAAAGGCAGCGCACCAAATGTGATCACCACTAAATTCAGTCTCTGATGTCGGGGTCGTTGCTTGGATAAAACTCGGAAGCAAGCCTTGAGGTGATTGTGCACAGCAACTAACGCCCAGTTTCCTTCCTGATCTCCTTCCGGGAAGTAAGACTCTGGAAGAATTAAACTAACGTAGAGTATAACGATAACATTCAAGCCTAAACACAAACCGAATGCCGCCATAAAGCCCTGATGTTCCACTAGCACGCCACCGATTAGGTTACCAACAGTGCCTCCTAAAAATATCATGGACTCCAGAATGGCTACTCTCAGAGTTCGCTGAGATTTATCAGTGATATCAGAAATGTAAGAAAAAACACCAAGAAGCGTTGTGGCAAATCCACCAAAGAAACCCGAGATGCAGACTCCGATAAGGATGAAATTCACGTCAAGTGAAAAATACCCCACATTCAGCATGTAATTGATGTAAAGTAGAACGCTTCCAATGGAAGGCAGAATTAGCACTGTTTTGCGNGTAAATTTAATGCTGGGGATAACCTTGTGATGGACTAGCATCCCATCCAGGGGGAAGTAAAGATATCCCTAGTCACTTTGCTGTCAAGGACTGAATCTCTAAGAGTGTGTATAACACAGTGGAGTTGTGTAATCAGGTCAAACAGACCCTTATCATATAAAGTCCATTGTTTTGTGTTTATGATTTGATTGACTGGTTTTCTTCTATGCGGCTCGGTTTGAGAAGTCGCACTGTAATGATTGATAACAAAAGCTACTCACATAGTACAATCAAGAAAAATATGCCAAACATGATCACCAGTAAATTCAGTCTCTGATGTCGGGGTCGTTGCTTAGCTAAAACTTGAAAGCAAGCCTTGAGGTGATTGTGGACAGCAACTAACGCCCAGTTTCCTTCCTGATCTTCTTCCGGGAAGTAAGACTCTGGAAGAATTAAACTAACGTAGAATATAACGACAACGCTCAAGCCTAAACACAAACCGAATGCCGCCATAAAGCCCTGATGTTCCACTAACACGCCACCGATTAGGTTACCAACAGTGCCTCCTAAAAATATCATGGACTCTAGAATGGCTACTCTCAGAGTTCGCTGAGATTTATCAGTGATATCAGAAATGTAAGAGAAAACACCAAGAAGTGTTGTAGCAAATCCACCAAAGAAACCCGAAATGCAGACTCCGATGAGGATGAAATTCACGTCAAGTGAAAAATACCCCACATTCAGCATGTAATTGATGTACAGTAGAACGCTTCCAACGGAAGGTAGAATTAGGACTGTTTTACGGCCGACTTTATCTGACCAGGAACCCAAGATCAAGGAGGCAGCAATAGAAGGTACCATCAGAGAAACAGATTGATACAAAATCCATTTCGACGTTTTTTCGTGTACAAAATCTTCTTGAGACTTGGTCAGGTTTTTGCATCTTTCGGCGTCATACTTATCTTGACAGATCTTGTTGAATGCTAGTTGCTGCGCAAGTTGAACGGACATGATGGTGCATAGCATGTAAAAGAAAAGAACAGGCTCTACTGTAATTTTCCGAAAGTCTATGATCGCCATCTTGTTTCTTGTTTGAACTGGGTATAAACGAGATTGCTCACATCAAGTAGAAGTGTTACGTTGTTAACTGCTGCTGGTAACTTCGCGGGCTCTACTCCGTTCTTTTCAACATGGCGGATAGCTACAAGCAAGTAAAGGCTGGCCGTCTAAAACTGAAGGGATTAGGCGATAGCTCTCAGAAAAAGAAGCATAAGAAGAAGAAACGTGAGAGGGAACTAGAAGAGCCAACAGACGTCGATGCACTTCGCCATGGAGGATGGAGAAAAGTCGAGAACTTCCAAGAAGTTACCGGTAACATCGCTTTACAAACTTATAAGAAATCTTATGTGGAGGCATTAAACACTGGTCTGTTTAATGTTGGTGAACTTAGAGATGATGGCGAGAACTCGCCGGCTCCTGTTGAAGTTTTTACAGCTGTTCCATTGTCCGACAAGAAGATTGCATTAAAGTCAGGCTATGGTAGGTAACAATACATGTCATATCATCACTTATCGCCCAACCTCGGTCTGCCATAACCATCACAAGCGCCTTCCTCTGGAAATAAGATGCTGATCACTGTCATGGAATGCACCTGAGCTAGAAGCCAAGGGTTTCAACAAAACAATGGCCCCCTGTCGGCTGAACCTCTTCTAACCCCATAAAAAAATCAACAGGAAAAAAACTTAAAAGCCCAGGGCTCTGAATGGGACCAATTCATTAATTCATGTTAAACTCATCAACAAACAATGAGCGTAGGGAATGGTGCCTAAAAGGCTGGTGGAGCCCAAGAGCAAACTAAACTGAGCATGTGAGGTATCCATGACAACCCTGTGAGATGCAACCACCAGGAACTGTCACACTGAAAAAATAGTGGAAACACAGGAAACTTACCACATACCTACCCTCAAGCCAAAGGGGGATGGGTTGGCTGGGAGAAAAGCTTAACGAGCACTGCCCAGCAGCGAAAAACATGGAGAATGATTTGACATCTGAAGCCGAGCTGTAAAATCCAGGCGTCCCTGCAAAAATCCCCCGGCCACCCTGAACTCACTCTCAGGGAGAGTGCTGGCCAGTAATCTTGTTACGGGTTTAACTTAGCCTAAATTACATTTAGCCACATTGAAAGTTCCAAGAGAAAGATCAAACCTCCTGCCTTGTGTCCTCCATCTTGGAAATTTCAGATAAGCTTAATTTTCCTTGAACATTCCGTTGACTTTCTAGCAGGGTCAGTTGTGGGGGCCAGTAGGGGGTCAGCTGACTGGAGGTTTCAGTGTTTTATGGAAACCCACAGGCAAAATTTATAGGGGTTATGTGGTTGAAAAGATCATCCATGTCCAAGATACAGAAATGGGTAACTCGT